AGAAGACAAGAGACTCAGAAGCCAGGACACGATATTTGTACTTCCTCTCATTTTCTATATCCTTCCTTCATGGGATCTGGCTGGAAATCCGGCCTGGGATTCTGCAAGACATGTCCTTCCAACACATCCTGTGAGCCACTTCAGGGGGAGTGAGTTTCTTTCCCATTAATCCTTCAGTGGGGTACAAGGAGACCAACCAGGCCTGGGGAAAGATGGCAGAAGGGGTTCCCTTTCTGTGGGTTGCCTGCATGGTGAAGAGATGAGGCCTTACCCAGTGAAACAAAAAGCCTGCAGGTCTCCAGCATCACCTCCCGGTACAGGGTCCTCTGGGCCAGGTCCAGCTGACCCCACTCCTCCGGTGTGAAGGTCACAGCCACATCCTCAAAGGTCATAGACACCTGACAAGTCAGAGAGGTAGCAGTGATAGTCTTGAGCCTGATGGATGGGATGAGAGCCTGTCTATGTGTCAGTGATTAAGGTGTAGAGAGACTCAAGGCCCAAATCGCCCAGCAACTCCTGAGGGCCTACATCTGTGCTGGGATGCTACTTTTGAAAGAATACAACATTGTAGGAGAGAAAAGCTTCCTATATAGGGACTCATCAGAGAATAGGACAGTAAGCACTGTGAGAAGTCAGAGGATGAAGATGATCATGATAACAACAACAATGATAGCACTCACAGTAAAAGTGGTGGCAACTAAGCCTCACTGGTTTTCACTGCTTTGTTCATGGTGCTGCTGGGTGGGTTCAAACCGCCAGCCTTTAGGTTAGTAGATGAGCACAAACTGCTTGTACCACCCAGGAACTCCATACTTCTAGGAAAGGTCTCTCTAAACAGATAACATCTGAGCAGCAGCCAGAAGAATTCAAGGTGTGCCCTTGAAAAGATCTGAGGACAATGTGGGAGGCAGAGGGAACCGGAATGGCAAAGGCTGAAGTAGAAGAGAACCTAGTGCCCTCAGGCTGGTGGGGCTGGTGAGCAATGAACCAGGGAAAGTTGGAGATCATGTTGGGAGGAAGGGGTCAAGGTCAGAGGTGGTCGGCCAAAGCAGATAGGGTAGGAGGTTCATGATGGAGGGTTGTATTCATTATAAGTGTCATGGGTACCCTTGGAAGGTGTATCATTCATCTTTCCACCACTGACTAAGCAGGTGTCAGAGGCCCGACACTGTTCTAGGCCTTCCGATAGTAAGGAGCCAGTCAGAGCCACTTGCCGTGAATAAACAGCTGCAAAGAGAAATTCAGCGACTTTTTAGCCTTCCAGCCGGCCCAGGTATCCTCTCCGACCTAGCGAATAAACAGCAGTTCCAAAAAGCATCCTCCACTCACCTGCGCCGGGTCTCTCAGCTCCGCCGCCATCGTAGGACCCGGTGGCAGAGCAAGGCCTGGACAGGAGGTGGCGGGCCGCAGTGTTCAGCCGATCTCACTCCTCTCCTATCCTGAGCAGGGTGACCTCAGAGGACTCACACTCCGGGCCTCAGTCTCCCCCGTGTAAAAGGCGCTCAGGTCCGCTCCGCCTCGGGGATAGCGCGAGGCCCCGGCGGGCGCCCAGGAAACACCCCCGTTACAGAGAGGGGATAGGTTAGGCTTGTACAATGGGCGGAAGTGTGACCTGTCCTCCTCACTGTCCTTTCCTTCTCGGCCCCTGAAATAAGAGACGCGGCCCTACACTCATATGCCCACAGCCGAAGGAACCAAACCCTGCGGCCGCAGACAAATGACGTCCACCGCAAAAGCAGAAAGTCCTGCCCCCGCCGACATGGGCCACAGCAAACGCCACTATCCTAGACCGTCATTGGACCTGCGCCTGCCCCTGCCGCAAGATGCATGGCCTTGTGGGTAACGTAGTCGTTTCCCCACATCCAGCCTGTGATGTAACTCTTTTCCAAGTCTATTGACGGTGAGCATAAAAAACAAAAACAAACCCGTTGCCATCGAATGGATTCATTCCGACTCATAGCGACCCTATAGGACAGAGTAGAACTGCCTCAGAGTTTCCGAGGAGCGCCTGGTGGACTGAACTTCTGAACTTTTGGTTAGCAGCCCTGGCCCTTAACCACTACGCCACCAGGGTTTCCGGTGAGCCTAGTTGGGGAGAAAAATGGGTGAGTGTGAATCCGTCCTTGTAAGTACGTCGGAAACCCCGAGGCCAGGTTGGATATTTGCTGTTTGCAGGGACAAGCGCAGAGTCGCAGAGCCGGAACCTCGTCTCGTTTTGTGACTCTCCACTCGCTTTCACTTCTCTCAGGACCCTGTCATAAGGTATACGGATAAACGAGCAGCCAAAATACCCGATGAAAGTAGAAATCCAGAAGTCTGGCGCAGACCCGTTTTCTTCCCACAAGCTGCCCTCTACTGTGGCATTTGGCCAGGTGTCACAATTGGACGGTGCACGCACTATTGTTGACGGGGATTTGTCATCCTCTAGGCAAGGAGGCTGCAAGTGGGGGCAGCTTGGAGGGTAACCCAGGACTCTGATTTCAAGCGTGGTCAGTGTGAAATGTCTATAAGACCCAAAGTATCTGGATCACATAGGCAATCCCACATATGAACACGGGGAGAGGGTTCTGGCTTGGAAGTATAGTTTTGGGAGTTGTTAGCTTACACTCTTATTTCAAGTCATCATACTGAGTGAGATCATCAAAGAAATGAGTGTAGATGAAGAATGGAATTGACAAGAGGATCAACCCTGGACAACCCCAACATTAAGTGGCTGGGGAAAAGAAACCAACACTCATGTTAGTTCTACCAATCATCCCAGAGGTATATTATGGAAAGTCTTATAAATCACCATTGGATGTGAGGGATTTTATCTTTCTGACTGAATGGCCCAGAAGGTTTCAAGTCCTAGCTAGAGAAGGAAGGCTTGCAGCACCAGCTGCACAGAGAAATTAAAATGTAGGCCCATCAACAGAAAAGCCAGTTTCTGGCAAAGAACCTTAACATTTCTTCCTTTTTCCTTTCTGTCCTAATCTGAACCTAGATTCTCCCCCAAGCTATCCCATTGCTTCCACCTTGAAGGCTTTTCTCTGCAATCCAGTTATGTAAAGCTCCCACCCAATGCTAACCCTGGTGCCTTTTCCCATTCCTTCCTTCTTGCTCTGGGACTTGAAACTTTCAGCGCCATGATAAAGGTGATTTTCCTTGGGCTGAGACAGATATACATTGACAAATTTCCTGTTGCTCAGCAGACAACCAATTTCAGAGTCAATTCTTAAGCACCAGCTGACAGGAAAGAAAAGAGCACTCCTTTTCTGGAGACAGGTAGAGGGAGAGTCAGGGACCCTAAGGGTCCATCTTCCACTTCACTCTACCCTCTCTCTGTCCCCTTTCCCTCCACAAGGGCCCAGCCCAGGACAATAGCTTGCCACTCCCACAACTGCTCTTTTTCATCCCTTCTTGGTTGATATTTCCACTTTGCTTCCTCTTTCAGGTACAAAGCCAAAGACATTCACAGGGTTGAGATGCTGGGTAGTTTTGCTCCTCATTAGCTACTGACGTCCTATCCCCTGGTACCTATGAACCAGACCTTTTTTCAATACTGGGTCTTTGAAGATGTTACAAATGGAGAAATTCCAAAAATTTCCTGACAAAAGATATCACCAGGGAACTAAATCCATGGTGATAATTTTAATACCCACACATACTTGCATGTACACATCCTGGTTTACCTGTTAAGATTTCAGTCACTTTACTTTAAAAGCAAGTCTTCACACAAGATGAAAAACACAATTCCTCCTCTATGTTTTTTTATCATGACCCTTTAATTTAGCAATGTGTTTTATTTTGTTTTAGCTGTAATTCAACCCTAGAAAACTGTCAAGGTAGACTTAGAGAAGTTCCTCTATAGAGGATTTAAAAAAGCTGAGGAACCCCAGTGAGGGCAGAGGACTCACCTGGAAAAGTCACAAGTCCCACTATCATCCGCATGCCACAGAAGCAAAAAGAAAAAAATAAATTGGGATTAAACTAAAAAAAAATAAAAAAGAATGTTGGGCAATTGAAACTACATGAAGGAACGATTTTTGTTTTTTAAACCAAAGGGTTATACAGTCTGAAGTGATGCAATAAAATATGCCTATTTGTATGTGTATCGTTATCTCCTTAAATATACACTATTTCATTATTTAAGCTTTCATATTTCTCATAACGAATTATATACCTCAATAGTAGTAAATGTTGTAGAACAAAGAAAGCTTTCAAGAAATTGTTGCAGACCTGCCTTCAATGGCACTATCAGTGAGCTTACAATGAGGCTGAGGACCTTTTGGAGCCCTGGTAGCTCAGTGGTTAAGAGCTCAGCTGCTAACCAAAAAGTCAGTAGTTTGAATCCACCAGCCACAACTTGGAAACCCTATGGGGCACTTCTACTCTGTCCTATAGGGTTGCTATGAGTTGGAATCGAATCCATTTGATGGCAACGAGTTTGGTTTGTTTTTTTCTTTTTTTTTTGCAGACCTTTTACCTCACAAACAATACTCCTTTACCCTCAAATTAGAACTCAGTGACAAACGGTAATAAGCTTGGCAGGGAAGTCTGAAAAAAGCTGTGTTGCCTTTTCATTATCTTTTCTGTGTCTCCTCTGCCTTCTCATTATTTATTAAATATTCCTGAGATAGCAATGTAGAGTAAACTAACACAGATGTGGCTGAAGTTTTTCCTAAATGAACAGTGACCATTGCGTCTTTCTGGATGAATTCTCAGATGTAGAATCAGACACTAGGCAGGTCAATTTCTAATATTACTCTTAGATGTCAAGTAATGATCTGTGACAGAACACTTCTTCACAAGGATACTTGTGAGCTTTCCCTTTGGCATGAATGTCAGATGTTGAGTAAGATGCTTCCTCTGGCCAAATATTTTCCTCAGTAGTTATATTTAAAGAGTCTGTCCCCAATAGAAGTCCTTGGATGTAGACTGAGGTTTGCCCACTTGTGAAGGGTCTTCCCACATCTGTCACACTGACGTCGCTTCTCCTTAGGTGCTTAGAGAGGTATGACCTGCAGCTGAAGGACTTCCCACATTCACTGCACTAACAGAACTTCTTTCCAGTGTGAATGATGGTGTGTCAAATGAGGTTGGTGCTTTGGCTGTAAGCTTTCCCACACTCTATGCACTCACAGGGCTTCTCTCATGAATGGATGATGGAGTGTCGAATGAAGCCTGGCTGATCACGAAATGCTTTCCCACACTCCTTGCATGCAAAAGGTTTTTCTCCTGTATGGCTCTTCTTATGCAAGACAAAAGTGGAGCGGTGGGTAAAGGCCTTTCCACATTCACTGCACTCATAGGGCTTCTCCCCAGTGTGAATCCGCTGGTGCTGCGTAAGGTGTGCCCTTTGGTTGAAGGCCTTCCCACATTCACTACACTCATACGGCTTCTCCTCAGTGTGAATCCGCTGGTGCTGTACAAGGTGTGACCTGTTTTTGAAGGCCTTCCCACACTCACTACAATCATAGGGCTTCTCCCCAGTGTGAATCCGCTGGTGCTGTGCAAGGTGTGACCTAAGGCTGAAGGCCTTCCCGCACTTTGTGCACTCATAGGGCT